CGCGAAATTCGTGTCCAAATTGCTCAATTTCGACCAAAAACAGCATCGCGTTAACATTGCTCAGGAGCTGTTGGTCTCGGTCCGTGACGACCCAAATGTGCTCCAGAGGGTCATAACTAATGACGAATCATGGGCCAAGGCCGAAAAAAGCGCGCCAAGTTCGGTCGAACGTGAAGGTTTTGCTCACAGTTTCCTTCGGTTGAAGGGGCGTGGTGCATCATGAGTTCTTGCCACAGGGTAGTACGGTAAATAAGGAATATTAACTGCAAGTTATGCACAATTTGCGTGAACCAATCCGCCAGAAACGCCCGGATTTGTGGAAGAACAAAAACTGGCTTTTGCACCATGATAATGTCCCTGCTCACACATCCTTGTGCGCAAATATTTATCCAAAAACATAACAGTAATGGTCCCACAGACCTAGCTCCCTGTACTTTTTCCTGTTCCCAAAACTGAAGAGGCCCATGAAAGGACGACGCTACGCTACGATTGAGGAGATAAAGACGGCATCGAAGGAGGAGCTGGAGAAGATCACGAAAAACGTGATCTTCTTTACGTGGTAGAGCCATGCTGCAGCTATATTACTAATAAAGTTGTAGCACGAATGGGTCGGCTCGACCGGGGAAGGACCACGCTCTCACAGAATACCAGCGTAAAATAGCAGCTTAACGCTACTGTGTTTCGTATGGTGAGTGTAGAGAACCGGAGACCCTTTTTACTGGACAAGAGGCATTCCATCTTAGTCCTCACGGGTGACAATGCATCTGCATTTTGAGTCTTTATTGAGGATAGATGTAGATGTCTATGGGTAACCACTTACTATCAGGTGGACTGTGTGCTTGTTTGTCACCCGATCCTATAAAAAAAAATTCTTTTAAGTGCTTCGAGGATTGGAAAAAACATTGGCTCAAGTGCATTATATCCGAGGGGGATTACTTTGAAGGAGACAAAATAGATATTCATGAATAAATAAACACTTTTTGAAAAAATACAAAATTCGCGATACTTTTTCAACAGACCTCGTATAGGCTCTAAACATATGCAATTAAAAAAACACAGTAATCATTTATTGATTATACAATTTATGCCTATTTTTCAGCATGGTATAGGCCAATCTACACGACCTTACAAGATATTTTCCAGCACAGGACTGATTCAGAATATTACAGACAGTTGTGCAAATTGTCAAGCAATTTAGTTACGAATTACGTGAGCCTTACTTAGATTGGTACAACTTAAGTTATGTTAACATTTATAATCTTAAATTGTTCAGTAAATTGCAACGCGATGTTGTCAGTAAAATTATTACCTTTAAACACGATTTAATAAAATTGTTTGTCGAGTACTTGCTACTTTTTACACAGCTCATTTTATTTTATTCATTTATACTTAACATTCCATTAACTTTTATCTTGAAATATGTCTCAGTAAATAGTGATCATTCAGGTATCTCTCTTTTATTTATTTACATTTTGCACCACGATGCCTTTTTTATTTTTGCAATTCAAATATGGCCAACTTTAAGCTAAGAAGTAATATTTGTTAAAATCAGTTACGTAGGCAAATTAGTTGGTTAAATAAGTATTACCGTCACATGTATGAACCTGTGAAGTTCTATTTTAATTTGTCAAAGAGATCCGTTCAGGAACTAGCTCATTAATCCTAATCTGTCTTTGTTTCATTATTTTGTACTAAGGCTCTTCGGTCTTCAAAGCAATGTGTATCAATTTAGAAATGCCAACTTCCTCGTAGACCACACTTGCTTGTAATTTTAGTGTTGCTATGAAATACTTAAAGCCCTTTGATGTAACCAGCCGCAGCATTGAGTTTATGCTCTTTGTAAATTAAATGGCTGGATTTTTATAGTTTAGATGAAAATGAAAGATTATGACACTTAAGAGTTTGTGTTTAAATTGTAAGGAGTGGCACGTGCTCGCATTTTACTTCGTGGTCTTTTGTAAGGTTATTCTACTCTCTGTTAAAGGTTATTTGAATTTGGTGTTTTTGACCTAAATAAAATATACGAATACTTGGACTAAATAAAGCTTGTTTGAAATTTTGCTTCTATTGTTCTCAAATTTTGAATTCGTGGGTTGAATTTTCCTAATTATTTTACTGTATATAACATTTTCTAAAATTTCATACCTTTATTTGTAATTTTATCTGATATTATATTAAATTTATGAAAAATAAAAGTAAAATGCGTTAATGTAACAATAAAAAATTATTGTGTTACCACTTCACTGTCAGTTTTAATCCAATCTCACTTTAAGTTATTTTGGTTATGTGGTTTATTATCAAAACATATGTAATAAGTCATCCAAGAAAAAATTACACATATCACAGAATAATATTAGGATCCTTGCTACTAACATCATGCATTTCATTGTTACATATAAAAAGCTACTAGATTATACAAATTCTAGGATGAATAAAGTCACGATAATATATTTCCGAATATGCGTGGTAGATCCACGTTGCAACTATATTATGGTTGTATCACGAATCGGTCGGCTCTACATGGGTAGCATCACACCCTCACTGAATAGCAGCGTAAAATAGTAACTTAATCCTGCCGTGTTTCGTATGGTGAGTGAAGAGAACCGGATACCCTTTTTACTGGATAAGAGGCATTCTATATTAATCCTCAGAGGTGACATCGCATCTGCATTTTGATTCTCAATTGAATATAAATGTAGATGTCTATGAGCCACAGCATTCACTTACAGGTGAACTGTGTGTTCGTTTGTCACCCTTATTCTATAAAACAAAAATCACTGTCATAGCTTGTTGAGTCTATCAAAATAGTTAGACTATTAGCATCTGTTATTTTACCTGTTTAGTATTTATCTTACTTACCAATTAACAATTGCTGCGTATTGTCGTAAGCTTGAAGATCCATATATCCATCTTCAGGTTAAGAAGCATTAACAAAAAATATTGATTGATTATCATACGAACATATAAGTTCTAGTTTGAACATTCATAAAAGCCAGCTCATGTGTAAGGTTCACGTCGCGACAACGTTATTTATTTATTGCTGCAACTTGCAGATCATCCAATTTACAAACAAAAAATACATAAATAGGTATTTTAAAAAATGGATTGAATCAACAAAAACCACTCAGCATAATGCTACAGTAACATAGCTAACACAGCGCTGATATTCTGTCGGAGTTACATATTATTGAATTATACAAGTATATTGCACAAAAGAGCCGACTTCTTATTTATTATTATTATTATTTAAGTATATCATGAAAATTACGAGACGTGTAATTTAAGTATAAAAATAATTCGATTTCATATTATGTCCCGCAGGTTAAAAATAATAATATGTTTGAACGGAATGTCCTCTAGACAGAATTTCGATAATGGCGGCTAGTCTCTAAGGAGAATAGAATAGAATTATTTTTTTATTTAATATAGATCATATGCGTATATCTTATTGAGTAATTTTTAACTTTACCACTGGTTCGAAAAAAAATCTCTGTTTTGGGAAGAAGAAGAAGCGGGAATAATTTTAAAGTGTATTTTATATTAATGGTTATACGAACTATTTACAAAATTTATTTTAGAAACCGCTTGGAAGCGCCCACCTCATTCCCCGGGGGTTAGCATCAACCATGTATTTATTTATATTATAATAACCCTTTTTATACAGTTTCAGCTTAATAAATCATTTAAACTTGGTAATAGAGAGAGCCTGTATACTTTCCGGGACCCTGTTGTAATAGCGTATACATTGCCCTAAGAATGAATTACTGACTCTATGAAGTCGAGAAACTAGTATCACTAGCTTGTGTTTGTTCCTAGTGTTTACAGAGTGTTCATCATCTTTTTTTACTAAATTTACCTTTATTTTTGTGAATATACTGAGAGGCCAAAGTTAATATATTTATTTCTTTAAATTTGTCTCTAAGTGATTTTCTCGGTTTTAAATTGTAAATAGCTCTAATGGCTCTCTTCTGTAAAATAAAAATAGTTTCTGAAGTAGCAGCATTTCCCTATAGCAAAATCCCATTAGAAATTATGCTATGGAAATAACTGAAATAAACTAATCTGACTGTATCAACACTAGTGAGACTTCTAATTTTTTACAGCATATGCTGCAGAACTTAGTCTGCTTGCTAGTTTGGATATATGGGGGCCCACTGAAGCTTTGCGTCAAGAGTGATGCCAAGAAAAACAGTGGAGTCTGCGGGGCTTAGTTCTTCCCCATTTAAAAACACATTGGTGTTCAGATTATTAACATTCGATGTTGTAAATTTAATACATTTAGTTTTATTTCCATTTAAATGTAGATACACTAATTTTGATATAGCATTATTCACTTCGTTTAAAAATCAAGGAAGTATCATACTCAAATAATACTATATCATGATTGTCCCCTACGAGGGAAGGTAAGTCATTAATATACACTAGAAATAGGAATGGGCCTGAAATCGAGCACTGAGGCACACCCATTAGTACAGGTGACCGGGAAAAACTTTTACCATTGATAACTACTCCGACAGGATCGAATTTTAATGAATGAGTGTATGTGAAAGCAGTGCACCTACACTCTCTAATCCCTCCCTCTAATAGTCCGATAGAACAGACGCAGGAATAGGTTTTCCGAGGTACGGTGATGAAACAAAGCCAACTTCCTAACTCCGGGCTTACACTTGATAGAAAAACCCTTTAACGTATTTTTGCGACTCTAGTAGTTTTGTAATATGTTTTAACATACTAGACTTACAAGGCAGTTTTCACGGGAACAATAAGGAACTAGGAAATTTTAAACTATAAAGCACTAAAAGAGATTTAAAAAGTTAACATTGAAAATTGATAATATGATATCTTTTTCACTACAGGTGTATTCCTTATATCGATAATATATTATTTACAAAAGTTTAACTAACACAGTTATATCAAGACGGGTCCTAAAATATAAACGTATTGACCCTTTTCTAATAATTCGATAATAAAACTAAAAATAACTCAAAAGCTGCACTCACCACTTTGACAGGGAACACAGTCGTTAGTTCTCTGCACGGCTTGTCCTTGACACGGGGCTCCCCCGTTTAGAGGGTGGGGTTCGGTGCAGGTGCGCGTGCGCCGTTGCCCGCCGGTTACACGTCCGTTGCAGCGGCACTGTGTCCATGGACCCCAGGAACTCCAGCCTCCGTTCACTAGCGTGTACAAGAGAAAAGATAATAATTAACACAAGAATAATTTAAAAAATCAAACACATGACTAGTGTTTATAGAATTAAACTACATAAAAACTTTAGTAATTAATTAAAAATAAGGCGGTGGTTTTTTAATAAATTATTATTAAGAACAATGATTCAACAATAATGTTAAAATTTGTTAAACAATTGTGCTTTACTACTAGGCAGGTGTTCGCTTCAACGCATTGTTTATAGGATGAATATAATATCGATATATCTACATTAACATTTAATTTATATTAACATTAACAAAATAAAAGTTTTGTCTATAATATCGAAATAAAACTATAAAGATTTAAAGGGTTAAAAACCATTTTGAAATTATTGTCTGACCGAAATGGCTTAACTGATTGTGATAAAATTTTACGAATAGATAGAAAGCAATGCTAGGAGTATTCCAGGTCATATTTTATCCTAAAGACATGCACGATTATTTAAAACTGAAAGACTAATAAAATAAATGGTTTTTGTTGATTATCTTATAAACTTTAAGGGATATAAAAAAAAGTTTTTAAGAAACACTTCTGGTTTGTAATTTTACACAAATAATTAAAAATTATAAATTTTGTACAACCGACTTCAATATAAATTATTAGGAATAACTCAAAAACTATTGGTCTGATCTTGATCAGATTTGTATGGGACCACATGTAGATAGTAGAATCATCGAAATCAGTTCACCCAGTAAAAAGTTATGAGGTAACACACATAAAAAAACATACAGTCGAATTGAGTAGCATCTCATTTATCAAGTCGGTAGAAAAGATCCTTACACTATATCTTTTATCTCTGAAAGATTTGATGCAAAATCAATTTGTATAATGATGAAGGATAACAAGACCTTACGTAAAATTAATAGGTGTTCAATTTCTATTTTCCCATTGAACTATTTTTCCCATATAGCACATAATTTTAAGATATTAGCAAAAACTGACTTTATAGTGGTTTTCTACGACTAACTTCTTACCCAAAGACCACTGTTACATATCTGCAAGTTTTTACGTAGAAAAAATCGCGGGTTAGTTGTAACTAAATTCTCTGTATCACATCCGAATGACCCTACCACCCAAGCCGTCATCGCATACAATCGTTTAATTTACGTCTTTTACCAATACGCCGCCGCCGTGTAATATTCAATATATGGCTTTTAATTAACATTAAAAAGTGAACGTCGATATAATGAAGCTATAAAGAGTTTAATTAAACGAGGTGCTTTTTACGAGATCGCTGTGGAGTATAGGTATCGAACACGCAAATGCGAGGAACAGGCCGAATATTATTTATATCTCTTTCTACCATCGTATGCATGTTACCCCGGTGGACATGCTAGGTCGCGTGTTATTTCTAGTTGACCCATACGGTTGCCTAGAATATTTAATCATGGCTCGGGCCTTTTACCTGGTCTGGAAGAGTTTAATAAATGTTAAGCATTTTCTCTTTTCAGTGCATTACGTTTAATATATTTATTATGAAATATATGCTTATGTTAAATATTTCACCTAACGGCCATAATAATAACTTGTGAACGTAATACAAATACACATAGTCTGCTAGTTGAAAATGGATGTGTAATAAAGGGTGTGTCTAGTATAAATTATTGCAGCTCCAAGCCTCAAGCATTTTTATTAAATAAAAAATAATTAAGCGCATTTGCAAGAAATAAACTAGATAATAATATACAAATATAATAGGAGAAACTTGAGATACGCTGTTGAGAATGCAGTGACTTCCTCTTCTAAGTTTTAGTGACTATCCTAAAACGTATTTCTTGATCAAGTATATCTATACTAGACATTATTAATTGTGAAAACAAAATAAAAAGGAGTAATTAATCAGCGTGCTTTTGTCACGATTCTGGTCACGAGAATCGTCCTAATTTCTAAGAGGGTTTTAGGGCAGGAGGATTATGGCAAACTAACCAAATGCTTGTTGGTGGACTTTACTTGACCTTGAAATTTTAATTTCTAAGACATAAAGGTTTCTTCTACTGTCTAGCGCCAGTCTAAGAATATCCACTGCCTCATATCATCCTGTGGGTGTCGTAAGAGGCGACAGAGAGAAAAAATCAGGAGAAGTGCAGCAGCGTCTTTCTAATAACGACTAAAAATAAAATACTGCTGTTGCCGAATCGCTTGCCAAGTGTGTAAACTAAGGCAAAAATCCCCCTCATGCAAGCAATCTATGGGGGGGCCTATGTTCAGCTGTGGACTTTAATAGGCTGTAACGATAACATAAAGGTTCTTTCACGATGTTTCCATTGAACTACTACTCACTTCGTAAAATATATACAATATTGATAAATACATTTATATTTTAAGACCATAGCTTCTTGCTAAAGATACAGTAAAGGTATGGTAATTTAGTTAACAAACAATAAAAAAACAAGAAAGCTCATTTCTGTGCACCATAATCTTCCCATATAAATTTTTCTTACCTATATCAAGAGGATATCCTAAAATGTTGTGTAATAGCCGATACTTCTCTAAATTACTGGTAATGGAGAACATTACATTATCTTAACGGTTATAAATTGTCAGATTTCACAGCTATGCCACATGTTGCCTGAAGTATGTTGGGCTTTGGAACTACGTAAGCGTGCGAGGCCGAAATTAGTATTAATGGAGTCGATTTTTTGTTGTAACTCCGTTGAGATAATATGTGGATTTAATGCAGCGTTTGCTGACATACATATATCAATGGATATGTATTATTACTACGTAGTTTAAAACAAAGTCGCTTCCCGCCGTCTGTGCGCTTAGATATTTTAAACTACGAAACGGATTTTAACGCGGATTTCATCAATAGACCGAATGATTTAAGAGGAAGGTTTTAACTAGTTAAAGGTAAAAAGATAAAGTTACAGCCTATATACGTCCCACTGCTGGACACAGGCCTCCTCTCATTACTGAGAGGGTTTTAGGGCAAGGAAGTGTCCGTCGCGCTGCCCCAATGAGTGTTGGCGAACTACACATGTCTTCGAAATATTTTTTTTCTTATTTCTCAGACATGCAGGTGGTTTCCTTCATCGCCGAGCACGTGGTAAATCAGCACTTAAAATTGTAATTAACAATTGGTGCCGGCCGGGATCCGACTCGGGTTGCTCACGTACTATGAAATTTACAGCGAGCGCTAATCATCTGAGCTACCACGGCTTTAACTAGTATGCATATTATACGATATTATATATAATTCTTCTGTCCGTATATATGTTGCTGAACTCCTAAACAGCTGGACCGATTTTGATGAAATTTTGTGTTTGATTAAGTTGATTAGAAAATGGTTTAGATTCACAATGGACCACATTGCGAAGCCGGGACGGGAATATATGACTTGATATTTTTTGACTTATCTGGGATTTATAACTAAACGTGGGATTAATAGTGTAATACTTATAACAAAGCAGAATGTGCCATCTGTTTTGATCGACTAGTATAACGTAGAAGACGATTAATTCCTATTCGATTACTAGATTTCGATTGAGCAGGCGAGACCTACCACTTTTTCACTGTTTTCAATTTAAGCCCATACGTTTTAAACGTTTTTCGAGTAGCTCGCTGCTCTTTATGCTCTACCTACCCTCTCGGAGATTACAGGCGTGAGGCTATGTATTGTGTATAATATATTATGTTCTGATGTTTTTATCACGTTCAAAATTATAATGTTTTTATTGATGCCACAAATTATACCCAAGCCACAGTTAACAAAAAGTTCAAAGTTAATTAACATTTACCACAACAGTAATAAATTACTGTAAAGTTTTATAACACTTTAGACACATTAATCTCACTTGGAAATTCGCGCTTTTTGTATCTATACAAAGAAATAAAATTAAAGTGTATGTTTGTAATGTCAAAATAACAGCTTTTTACTTAATGCATATGAATTCCTCGCAAGAAGATGTTTTCTTCCTCGCACGACTTCCTTGTGGAATCGATTACCATCAGCGATTTTTCCGGACCGATACGACTTAGGGACCTTCAAGAAAAGAGCCTACTCCTTTTTAAAAGGCCGGCAACGCATCTGCAATTCCCCTGGTGTTGCGGTTGTTCATGGGCGGCGGTAGTCACTTACCATCAGGTGAGCCGCATGCTCGTTTGCCCCCTCTCCTATAAAAAAAAAAAAAGTATGTAATTATGGTACTTTGCATAAAATTTAGTTTTTCATCACAAATTATACTAGGTACATCCGAATGTCAGACCTTTGGAAATGTCTAAGTTCAGTAGTGGACTGCTGCAGGGTGATTATGACGATAACGGTAATGAAGTGGTAGAGTGTTATTTTTCAAAGAGTATCCAAATTTAAAAACTTAAGTTAAAGTATATATTGCTACTTGTTATGATATATTCTTACTTTTTTAAATACGAGTAAATAAGACTGCTACATTTATTTGAATTTACCCCAAATTGAATGTTATTTATGGGCAACAACGTTTTTGCCTACCGATCGACCCTTACGAATGTCTGCGTGCACAGTAATATCATTTAAAATAATGCATTACCACTTTTGGGAATTTATTTACTTTTGATTAACTTTTGAGATTTTTTAATTAATATTTCTTCGCCATCTGCCTATATTACTTACACTTAACCTTCTCTGCAAATTCGGCCGGTTAATTGATTAATTAAAGGCAAGGCGTAGTGAAGAGTGCACGCCTTGCAATACATAACGCAGTGTTGGTACCGACTTTGTTATATGGCAGCGAAACCTGGGTATGCCAGAAGAAGGATAAAAGCAAGTTGAATGTGGTGAAGAGGCGATCTCTTCGTAAAATGTGCGGCGTTAGCATGGCCGACCGAAAGCGAAACGAAGAGATTCGCAATATGCCAGGTTTGAAAGATGACCTTATCACAAAAATTGATACGGGCGTGCTTCGGTGGTTTGGGCACGTTGAGCGAATGAGTGAAGACCGAATGGTGAAGAAAATATATAGCGCGAAAGTTAATATTAAAAGGTGTCGAGGTAGACCGAGACTAACTTTCGAAGACCATATGAGCAAATTGCTCGAAGAGGGTAGTGTCAAGAGTACTCAGATACCTAGACGTGCATGTATGAAGAAGATAATGAATCTGAAAGAAGCGAAAGAGGTTTGTAAGGATCGTGACACTTGGCGATCTGTTCTCTCTGGCTCCCCGTTAGGGATTGTGCGTGAAGATAAGTAAGTCAGTATGTAGATGTCTATGGCCTTCAGCAACCACTTTCTATCAGGTGGACCGTGTGTTCAATTGTCACCATTATTCTTTGGAAAAAAAACTGCATTTTGATTATAAATTGATACTTGTAGATGTCTATATGCCGCTTGCATTAATTTACCATGAGGTAAACAGTGTGCTCTTTTATCGCCCTTATTCTATATAAATTTTAATACAAGAAAAATGATGAGAAGCTCTGGCAAGAAATGCATTAAAATAAGTGCATAACGAACACGTTACACTAAATATTCCGAACCGAACGACCACCCGCGGTTCCAATTCAGGCATTTTCTCGACAATAAAAATTAATAGCTCCCATTAGCGTTCGGGTTTGTTATTAATCCATTAAAGTACTGTTAACATAAATAAAGATATTCTCTCTAACAGAGGTTATAGAAAAGTCTATAAAACTTGGAATTTGTGTTAAGATTACTGGGCAAATGGGAAAATAATGTGACGATGTAATAAGTGAGGCAATTAAAAAAATAAACATTAATTGACATTTATAAATTTGAATAGGTACATAATGTCATCAAAAATTTAATAAGATTGAAGCAATTAATTTTATTAAAGGTATATGTCACTCGATGTCATAAATACTAGATGTATAAGATAATTAATTTTTCAAGTAATTCCTTTGAAATATAATATTATTACAGGATACTACACCTGTAACGTAATCTCGTTCGGTTTGAGATTGGATAAATATAAATACAAATTACGAAAAATCAATTCTAACATATAAAACATAGTTTACACTAATTAAAATAAAATAAAATATACCTATCTTATTTTGCAGTATGTAAAACAGCTTTTGGACAGGGCCTCTCTCGTTGTAGGGAGAATATGTCTTAAACGTCACGCAATTAAAGGAGGGTAGAATTAACATTCCAGCCCAAGTCGTGAACATCTTTGACGCTGCTGCCCGTTACTAGTCAGAATATTTTACTTCTGGTATTAAACGAGATAGTTATGCTGCTATCTATCGGAAATAATACTATTTTTCTGGCATTTCTCATAATGCCCTCTTACAAGATCCGTGGGATTTTCTCAAACTACCACCAAAAAATGAGTTCTAGTTAATTTAATATATTTACTAAGGGCAGCCGATAAAATCATTTAAAGACATTAATACAAAACATCTACACCGTCTAATTAAACACAAGAAACAAGTTATGTTTAAATATGCGTAGGATTAAAAGCGTTAGCAGTGGCCATTGCGTACACTTTCCACCGACGTGATAACAACGATATATTGTTCAATTCGCATGTAAGCGCTACAATTGCTATAGAACAAACACAAAGGGATCGAAGCCCTCTAATAAACGTAATTGGTCTCAGCTTGTACCCGCAGTAACTATTCCAATTAGAACCTTCGTTTCTAAAGCCGGAATTGACGGTGTACACAAGCAATTACCCTCACTTCGTCATTCTGCACCAACTCCTAATAATTCGAGTCTTATTTGTGAAAGGTGATAAATAATCCCTTTTGTTATATGTTGATGTAAATAATAGGTTCCATCTTATTACTTCACAGTTCATTATGTGCGGCTCGATTGGGGACGGAACACACTCAGAATACTAGTGGAAAATATCAGCCCGACGCGACGCCGAAGTGTTTCGTGTGGTTAGTGACGAGAATGGTCTCCCATTGTAATTGGTAATGAGGATTCATCATAGTCCTCAGATGTGACAACGAATTTGCATTTTATTATTAATCGAGCATAGATGAAGCCTAGATGTTATTAATTTTAATAATCTCATCAATAATAAAACAAGATTAAAGCAATTAATTTTAGTAACGGTTAAATTTATGGCAATCAACACCTTGAATTTACTTAAAATGCAAAATTGTTATTTTGTTTCATCACATCAATTTGTTTTACCTATCTTGGAATAGGTCACAGTGTCCATTTAACATCAGGGTGGACTATATGCTCATTTGTCGCGCTTACCACTGCCATCACCGGTAGGTAAACATAGACCTATCACATAGATTGCCTCATAGGGGGCCACTGCAAAACATAGGTCTCCGACATCCCCACTTGCCTCATAGGGAGATATTTGCTGTAGTTTCTACTCTTCGTAAGCGGGTTGGCAACATCAGTTTTTTATTTTATTAAACTGTTATCAGAGCGATGCTGCTGCCCATCTTCTCGTTCTGTTTCCATCTGTCGCCTCTCGCGACCGTCACTGATATAGGGTAGTAGATATTCTAACACCGCCACAACACAATTGTCATCCTTACTTCTTTAAAAATAATACCGAAAAATCTTCTTTATCAGCCTCGTCAACGTGAGACGGACGGGAGTATATTGTAAAAATAATGTAAAATAAAATATAGTAACAATATTTGGCATAACCGATACTTGGAAGGTAAATTTGTGATCACAGTACAAAATTATTTTTATCCTCGAAGGTGATCAGGATATTGTACAACTGGCGTAATATAAGATGCTATACTGCTATCTAATAGAAATAATGATTTATTTTTCGTCATTATCCAATTGCCACTTACAAAACCCAGGTGACGATAAATTTTTTTTTGAAAATTTTATTAAAATCTGATGATAGAATTATCCTTTTTATTTTAGTTTTTGTGGTTACTGAAATGTTAATGTATTTGTAATATTAACATTTGTTATGGTGTAGAACTTGTGCGGATACTCATTTCTCAACAAAGCCGCAGAACCATAAACAGATAATCGATTTTCATAACTATTAATAACGATTCAAACAAGCCGCAAAACAGAAATTTTGTACGTGCTAACTCGGAGGTGGCGATTGCAATCAGTTAGCGAGGCGCCATATTTCCAAGATGGCGTGGGCGAGCACCGCGTCCCTAATGACTCTCCCATGCGCTTGCGCACTGCTATATAATTGCAAGCCATCGGCTCGTGCCCTTTGATCTTGCTGAAGTAAAGATAGTTATTATGCACAAGTGGGGGTGAAATGAACATTAAACAGCGAGAACCGTCGGTTGTCCAATAAATTATAAATGAAATAATGGAACCTAGTCTAAGCCTTGTTAGCCAACGCGGTATTAAACTGTCTAACTCTTCCTGTACGGTTATCATTCGATTTATTAATACGGTATTATTTAGGCGTTAGAATTATAATAAGACATTTTAAAATAAATAATATTTATGTATTTTACATCTAGTAAACACTAGTGCTTAAAAATGTAGTTTCTTTTTTAGTTTTTAATGCAAATATTTCTTAATATTATTTTCTAAAATTCTTTTTGGGAAAAGAATATTAGCTTTTTATTAGAAAATATTAAAATAAAAAATAAAGTAGCTTTTATGTGCTCCGACATTTCTATAAAGAAAATACTTGAAAACTACAAAATTCCTAAAAAGTTAGTTTAATCTTTATCATAATATTAATCTTAGCTATGTCTTTCAGCTTCTAAGTCAGTCTGTCATGTCAAATATACATCCTCTAATTCTCTTCACTTGTTCCTGTCATTTATTCTTCTCCAAACCTTTGGAAGATCATCTTCCACCTTTTTATCTGCCTTCCTTTACGTTTTTTTCCATTCGTAAGGTAACATACATACAACATAAATGCTGCTGCTGCTGCATGCTGGATAATAGAATCAGGCGTAACATTGCAGCTAGTCATTATTTAAAATTAACTGGATAAAATCCGCGTGAACCGTGGATTATAGCTTATTAATTTTCACATCTTCACTAAACATTTTAAAAGTGTTATTTACTGAAACGAATTTGGTATTAAAAAAAATTAAGTTAAATAAATTAGTAAATTAATAATACAAATTCTTATTATCAAGGACTTGTTTAACACGCAAACATGTATTTATTATTTACAATCATTTATAAAGGTACTTTTATATTAAATATACTTACCGTATACCGTCAAAAGAGCGGGCTCGGAAATTCTTTTTCCAGCTATATTTTCGGCCACGCAACTGTAGTTTGCCATGTCCTGGGAACAAAAGACTCCATGTAATCGCCAATTATCACGACAGGTGTTTGTTTGTTTGTAATAAATTAAACCACGACCGCATATTTGGAATTATGAAATACTTAATAGCAGTTGGAATGAGGCCAATAATTTCTGTTGCTGTATAGTAGCCAACCTTTAGAAAATGTTGCTTAAATATCTTTTAGTTTTATTATTTGATTACATACAAGCCCATGCGTTTAAGATATAACGCAATCGTATATACCGGATCATTTCTGTTAGGGCCGATATTTCAATAGTCAGTTAAAAGTTATCCATCAATTAAATTACAATCTGACTGAATATAAAAGTCAAGCAATTGAACTATGTTATTAATAAAACTTTAATTTTTAATTTGTTTATGTTGATTTTTTTTATATGAATTACTTTTAAATGTCAATTGAAGAATCTGTCCTAAATTAGGGTGGCTTTTTATTTCCTATCAGTTGGTATACATTCAGAACAGTTATCGATAGACATTTGTTCCGACCCCGCGGCATTGCGGAGCCTATAAGCATAGCTTGCTTATAAATAATCTAAAAGCGCCGCTGACTTAAAATTCAAATTCAAATTAATTTTTATTTGCGTATTCAGGTAATGAGACAAAAGACAAAACATATCTTTAAAATAAAACTCATTACTTTCGCTACACTCAATTTTTAGGTAGAAAAATATTATACAGTTTTAATCTACTGTACTACCAGAATGGTATTATTTACTATATTATCTATACATCTATACAAATAAATAAAATTGAAGTGTCTGTTTATAATCCAAAATAACAGCTTTTAACTAAATGCATATGAAAGTATATACGGTACTTATAACAAAAATACAATTTTAAAAACTTTGTTTGTCTGTCTGTTTGTTTCGGCTAATCTCCGAAACAGCTAGACCGATTTCGACGCACTTTCACTGGCAAATAGCTGAAGTTATAAGGAGTAACTTAGGCTACTCATATTGTGGCCCATATACATCTACATTTATCCTCGTTTGTGAATCAAAATGCAGATGCGTTGTCACCCGTGAGGACTAAGATGGAATGCCTCGTTTCCAGTAAAAAGGGTCTACGGTTCTTTACACTCACACACACACAACACAGCAGCATTAAGCTGCTATTTAACGCTGGTATAATGTGAGAGCGTTGCCTTCCCCGATCGTGCCGACCCATTCGTGCTACAACTATACTATTAATATAGCTGCAGCAGGGCTCTACCACGTAAAAAAGCATTTAGAGTTGTTATCAGGAAGATACTGCTGCCCGTTATTTGTTTCAATTTCCTGTGTCGTCTCCTATGGGATCATATGGGGCAATGCGTTCTCTTACGCTATTAATAAACGGCTAATTAATTTCAATAAGAATGTATGGATCTGTAATATTGTTAATATTATAGTAACACGCATATTACAGGAATTTATTAAAAGAAAACAAAAACAAAACTTCGCTAAGTATTACGTCGGCGGCCCGTGTTACTTTATGCTAAGGATTGTTTAAATATACCCTTAGTATTGCGAAACCGCGTATGCATTATAAGTAAATCTTAAAGACAATTAAGTGCAAATGAACGCGAAGATAAAGTCATTATAATTAATGAACCACGCGCGTGCTCTATCATTAATAGGTGTCAAAGATAGCTCTGTATCCTATACACCCACATCATGTCTGTAAAGCTGGACCATAACTCTTGTTTTACTAATGTAATACCATCTAAATATAACCAAAAGCATACTCCTATTTCAAATAATATACCTAATAATGGTATATGTAGGTAGTATACAAACATATTACCTTTATTTTACTTTTAGAGCTGAGTTTTTTTACAGGATAGGGTGACAAACGAGCGCGCAGAGTAAGTGGTTGCTGTGGCCCATAGACATCTACTCGTATGTCTATACTCAATAAAGAATCAAAATGCAGATGCGTTGTCAGCTGTGAGGACTAAGATGGGATGCCTCTTTTCCAGTAAAAAGGTTCTCCGGTTCTCTAGACTCATATGAAACACAGTAGCGTTAAGCTGCTATTTTACGCTGGTATAATGTGGGAGCATGGTTCTTCCCCGGTCATGCCGACCCATTCGTACTAAAACTATATAACTGAGTCTAACTCATCGGGAAGTTAGTTTAAAACCGTTTGCTGAATTTTTAACGAACAGACAAACAAACAGACATTACATTATTATCTACTTCTGAGCTATGTTCAAAGATTTAAATATCGAACTCATCGAGAAGTTAGTTTAAAATCAATTACAAAATTTGTACGGAACAGACAAGGAAGCGAGTTAATAAAAATGTGATTTTAGGGGTTTTAGGGCAAAGAAGTCACCGCCACGCTGACCAAAATCGTGTTGCCGGACTGCACATGTTTTCGAAATATATTTTTTTATTTCTCAGACATGCAGGATTCCTCACGATCACGTGGTGAATCAACACTTAAAATTGCAATTAACAATTTCATTGGTGCTCGGATCGAACCCGGGTTGCTCGCGTACTGTGAAATTTACAGCGACCGCTAATCCCCTCAGCTACCACGAATCGCAACGAGGTAGAAAAAGGTGTTTTCTCCCTTTGTAAACAACAAGTAACGTCGTTTTAAACACGAGTTAAATTCACTGGACTCCTTTAAATCACAAAGGAGGTATTCATTAAATAAAACGGCGCACACAACTCATGATTATAAACATTACATTTAATTAAGAACGCTCCCAACACCTTTGTGCTCCGGGATAATGTTGCAGACCGCTACAATGAGGGAGACGCGAGTGACACTGTGTGCAATTAATCCATGTCTGGCTTCAGTGGCTAATTAGTAAATGCCATGTAGCGGAAACCGGAGATGGAATGAGATGCTGGAGTTTACGTCATTTTGTGCGTTAATGTGAAGGTGCATGTATGTGGAAAATCTTATTAATCAGATAAATTGAAAATGATATTTTCAGTATCAATGTTATTAATAAAAGCTATGACAGAAATTAATGTAAACATATGATTTAATTTTATTAACAATCTATAAAAAAAAAGAAACGTGTGTGTCGTGGGACACTCGGTTGGAACGAAGTTCCTTTCGTAGTATATTATTATTGATAAACGTATTATATTATTGATTAACAAATACAAATAAATGAATTACTAGCGTCTATTGAAATGAAGCGTCATTTAAAATAATATTTCTTTCATGGTAAGATAAGAAAAAAGTGCCGTGACGGAAAAATCTTACACTTTTTTCGGCTCGCCTCCATCCATCATATTAGTAACGTGCGATAAGGAACTTCATTCCAATAAAAACATTTTAAATTAAGAACAAAATAATGCAAACGAATTTAAAAATGTCGCAATGGTTATAACCAAGGCAGGTACAGAGTAGCTCGTGAAATGCAGAATTAAATTAACCCTGAGTAACACTGCCTGCACTTTTATCAACGAGTCCGACGAAGCTTTGAAAGAGTACACCGGAACGCGGCAAAAGGACAAGCGGACGGTGACTTGTGTCGCAATTAATATACGTCAGTCCAGCCCGACTAATTAGTCGCAGTCGCTTCGAGATAAATAAACAATTCGCGACAAGATGTCGCGATTGGACCGTTGATGGCTACGCCTCTGAGTGTAACGAGGCAAGGATTGACGTCCCTCTAATCTAATCAAAATCTTTATTAGGCATCTGGATTTCTCGAATTTTGTTAATTATTTTATAGCGTGCTTAGAAAGTTAATTATTTTATAATTTATAAATATTTGTTTCGTTATATTCTTAACTGATCGAAATTAATTAACACTGTTTATTATATAAAATACGAAAATAGTACTTAAGGTATAGTATTTAAACGATGTTGTTTTTAACACGCGATAGCTTTTTTAACCTTTGCGACAATTCTACAAGGGGAAGTTAAGTTACCAGATACACTTAGAAAATCATGTTAGTTTTTTTTTCAATAAAGTCATAAAAATTTGACACTTAAACTGTGAAATGCAAGCTAGCTGTAGGTACATAAATTCGAAGTGATATATTATAACACATGCTTCGCTACTCATAACAATTCTTAAAATTAAAATGCAAATACGTGTTGCCAAATCAAACACGACACATTTATGTACGAATAAGTGACTCATGTCGGGATGACTGATCAAATATTTATCAGGATACGGGATTAAGATCCTTTTGTGTTTCGATTTAACGACAAGTTTGGTTTGAGCATGTGTTCAATTCGAAACTTCTTAATTTGTTGGCAAGAAAAAACCTGCAACAGCCGATTCCGACACGTGGTTTAACGTCTTAAGTATTACATCCATTGTTTGTTTCGTGGTTTTATTAACGATAATCGGGCTGTTGTAATGATTTACTGGCCATTAATTTTATGAACAAAGGCGGGAAAGATTTAAGGCGTGTTTATAAAACTCGACGGAGATTCAATGAGGGCGTTCACCAGATGTCGCTAGTTGGAACTTAGATGAAGTTATTTGTTACACAATGTCATTATAATTGAGAAATTTCGTTTAAAATAAAAGTTTCTGTCTCTAAAGCCTAATTCCATTCGTCTTCTAATATTCTCTTGTCTGGTTATTACATCACTCGTATTTATATCTATCCAATGATGATGATGATCTAAAATAATTTTCGAGTCACAGACACAATAAAAACTATAACCGCAAGCTAAAGGCTAAACTTGTGTGATGCACAAAAACTTGTGTTAGCTTAAAATGGATATCAAAGTTCGGTCTTACAATAGATATGCTGTTTTCTTCCGCTTTATTAATTTGCTCTATCACTAGGCGAGAAGTGTTTTTAAAAGTGTATGCAAAGATGACAGCTTCCAATTAAGATTAGATAGGAAAGGCCTAGATTTGCTCTTAATTTCTTAGTATGTTTATAAAAAATTACCCGCACTCTTGGCTTTTCTTCTGTATAGTGGAGGCAGTTCATATACATAAACTGCACAAGCATGAACATCCAGACCCGGAACAATTACTTGTAGGCCATACAAATACTTGTTCCATGCGGGATTTGAAACCCGCGGCCCTAAGCAACACAACTCAATGCTAAGACACTGCGCAAAGGAACCGTCTTCGAAATTCAAATGGAATATAAAGAATTACAATTATACATATTTTTACAAAAAGAAAGAAAAAGCGGCCAGGGATAAGTTATCAATCATAATAAAACAGCTGCCTATCATAAAACATATTACCGTGAAGGAGGGTGGAGTACGGCAGGGTAATCAATGGTCTTAAACGTGATGTGTCAATTTTAATTATATAACAAAATATTTTTTTTTAAATCAATATTCGTACACTATTTTTAAATTTGGAATATGAATCACTGTTGTTTCTATATATTAATAACATATTAATTGAGTAACGGACCGCGATTTGGTCACTCTATTTAGCGTGGATTAGTTTTTGTTTACATATAATTTAATTTATAGCCTAGGACAGTGCAACATTGATTTTTCATTTTAATACTAATACGCTTATTATAGTCTAAAAATGCTAGTCTATCTGTGGTTTTTAATAACGCGGATAATGCGATTAAGTTAATTAGCCATAGTACCTGTCGTTCTAAAAGCTTTCCGATCTACCGCTTAAAATTTTTAACTTTTATTTACCTGCAACGATGCCCTCGATATAACCAGGTTGCCTTCGGCTGATATAACAACATTGTGATCTTGTTGCAACGGCGTGCCGTGTTTCAGCCAAGAAACCCTCGGAATAGGCACAGCTTCCGGTGGAGAGCAACGCAGAGACGCTGTCAATCCAGCTTCCACTGAAGTTGGTGACGGAGACATTGTGAATTGTTTTCTTATATCTGCAACAGAAAACTTAGATATAGAGAAACTGTTAAACTTTATTATCTTTATATCTCATCTAAATCTAGCAAAAGGTTACATAACTTAATACAATGTAGTTACGCATTTTACTGAAATGTTCCTAAATTTTTTTTTTACTTATTTAAATGTTTAAAATTTATAATTAAGTCTTATTAAGAAAGAACAAACGTAGAATGGCCCATGTCACAATCTTGCAGATAAGAGGTAATATTTGTGCTTTTTTTATAGAATCGAGTGACATACGAGCACACAGTCCACCTGATGGTAAGTGGTTGCTGTGGCTCATAGACATCTACATCTGTCCTCGTTTGCGAATCAAAATGCAGATGCGTTGTCACTCGTGAGGACTAAGATGGAATGCCTCTTATCCAGTAAAAAGGGTATCCGGTTCTCTACACTCACCATACGAAACACAGCAGTGTTATGCTGCTATTTTACGCTGGTATTCTGTGAGCTAAAATATGTACAAAAATGGTCTATATGTCAATTATTATGACACGTGACATTCTGCCACTGCAATGAACTTACATCGTATAGGTAAAAATATAAGAGATTGAAGACAGTACCTTTACGTAAATCCCTAATGTCTTAGTATTTTTGTTATAATAAACAAGCCCAGGGGCTTAGCACTCGCTGTAAATTTCATAGTATGCGAGCAACCCGGGTTCCCGAAACCCTTAATTGCAGTTTTAAGTGATGATTTTCTAACAACAACATCTTAGGGAAACCTGCGTGCCTGAGAAATAAAAAAAATTATTTCAAAGACATCTGAAGTCTGCCAACACGCAATAGGGCAGCACGACAGACACTTTCTTGACCTAAACCCAGAGTTCTGTGCCCAGCAGTGGGACATATATAAGCTGCAACTTTACTTTTTATTTAATTTTGAAATTAAAAAAAAGAATTTTAATCTGAGGAATATAGAGCGAGATAATTAAGGCTGGCGTTCTAACCTTCAAAGGTGACAACGCATTTGTAGTTCTTTAATTAAAGTTGGTTGCAGTTTCACACAGGTTTTTAGCACGTATAGTTAAAACAAAGTTTAATGTATAAAAAGTTAAAACAACTGAAAAAAAATCTTCCAACCTAAGACGGAAGAACCAATAATTAGGTATATTAATTGTGATTACATGATTGTAAGCTATTATTTAAAAAAAGTCCCGCTGGCTTTCTTGGTGGTTTTTCTCAGGAGGGAGTTTTGTCGCACCAGTGGTAATTAAACAAAGCAGTGACTTTCAATAAGTATTATTTATAATCTTTATTGAATAAAAAAGTTTCTGTTTCTGTTTATCATAAATTATTGAAATGGAATCGATAGCATTAAGGGCTAAAGGTACGGACAACAAAATTGAAAGACGTGATTTCGTTCTGTAATTTAAGTAATGATGTTAACCACGTCTAGTACAAGAAGTTCCAGCTTAGAGTGGTTAAATGTTGTGCTAATAATATTAAAATGTTAGTAGAATTATTTTAAATAATAAAAATCAGAGGAATGGGTGTCAGTTTATGATACCCATTCCTCTTGCTGATTACCGAGGACATGCCAAATCATTGTCATAAATTATATAATATAATGGTAAGCCTTTTAGGCACATCATAAAAATCTAATTATGAAGTTGGAAAGAGCTAACTAACACATCACATCTATGATAACCCGCATATCAAATCTAATTAAAGGATAAAAAGTGAACACAATAAGCATCTCATGAAACTGTCACATGTCAATAATAATAACAGAAGCATTATCACAAAGCGAATACTAGCGAATAAATTCAATAACAGCCGTTATTTGAGCAATTTCTTTCTTAATATGTTACTTAGGACGAACAAATTTTAAGATGTAAGAAGTAGCGGTTTATGAACTGCGGTGATGACCATGGTGTTTTTTTTAACATTATTTTAGTAGTAGTTCAGTGACTAAGCGTTCACAGCAACTTCTGAGTATTTTTTTTTAAATTTATTAAAATAAATCAAATACAAAGCTTAAATTAATTAAACACGGTGTCGCAAAAACCTAACAAATTTTATCTGTACACCATGCTTCATTGACGGCACTCGGTGCTTAACCTACGTACAGACATTGTTTAGTACATATTACGGTAGATATAATATGCATAAAATCGTACTGAAGATTCACGGTTAGTAAAAATGTATTATTACTCAGACGCACAAAACCGGCCGGCTAATGAACTTACACAGGGGGTTCACGAGCGAAGTTCGATTTTCGCCGGTTACAATTAATTTGTTAATTGCAATTTTAACTGCTGATTTACTCGTACTACATGTTAGTTGATGAACGGAAAATCTTGAGAAATACACAAAAATAAAAATATTGTAATATAGCAAAATAAAGACATTTGAAGTCCGCCAAAATACAGACCGCTAGGCGGAAACATACATACCCTAAACCCTGATAAAAATGAGAAGAGGCCTGTGACCAGCAATAAGATACTTATAGATTATAACTTTACTTTTTTACTTCCTTTTAAATATTATTTTCGTGTTAATCCAAGGGCTAAGCGCTAAATTTCATTGTATGTGGTGAACATACCGTCCACACACGCCATCAATGCAATTGTGCTTGGCGTTAACAGAAAACAAAATCCTAAAGAAGAATAAAATAGAATATTTTAAGACATGTGTATGTTTAGCCCACCAACACGCATACGGACAGCGTGGCGGATACTTATTTGCCCAAATACTCTTTTAGAAATTAGAGAAGACCTGTGCCTAAGAACGTATAAATGATTTGGCTTACGAACTGACCAAAATGCTTTTCTGAAATTTTAACTTCATATTTATAAAAGCCATTGCGTGATTTTATTTCAAAACATTCCAGATTAAAACGTGGAAATTAATGAGAAAATTGAAATGAAAACGGCGAAATAGCCTAATGATCATAAGCATACTGACTACGAACTGCCTAACTAATACGTCGTGAGTTTAAATCCGACAATCAACTGTTGTAACAACACATTCTTTTTAAAGCTTATTTGGAATGGCTAACAGAAATATTTTTAGTATTAATAGCACTGCAAATATGTTTTTCTGAAAATAACAAAAAAATGAGCACGCAGTATCAGGCTTATAGCTATCCGCCTTCGCTTATGAACTGTGCCAAATCATGCCTCCTGTCTTCCCATGTCAATCCTAATAAAAACGTAACGAGAACGTCGATTATTAATCGTACAACCGGCAGTTTAGTCCTACTAGGTATTTAATTGCCTTTCATTAAACAATTTAACGCAACTTTGGCGCGACTACTTACTAAATACTTTAGAAGCATACAGAAATTATTTTTTCTTTGTAGTTTTTTAAAGCCAATAACTATTTTAGTTTTTTTTACTTTTAAAAACTATTGGTTTTTCATTAATAATTTGTACCTTTCTAAACAACTACGGTTTATTTCCTAATACGACCTACGTGAGGTACGGTCCCAAAAAAAATGGTATGCGCCGGTCACAGCTACTGGTATTGTAATTGTAGTAATAGAAATATGTTGAACGTTAGCCTCTTGTTCTAAGGTTTATAATATAATTATTGATGGATGATGTCATTTACTAATGGGTGAGTGAATTATATGCTCGCAATTATGGCCTTTATGAGCTATTATCATTCCCTATAAAGGCATCAATATCGCAGGCTTAACACTGGTAAAATTATGGTAGCTTTACAATAGAGCAACATGGGCCACCGACGGACTGGAGGGGAGTAGATATACTCAGGCATTTTCCTCTGCCAAAGTCCACGCGGTCCTATGCGTGCAATAAAACTAGTTGGAGACACCAGACTCCTCCTCCTCATCAGACTAAATCTAGTTGCGTGGCTGAATCAACGGCCTACAAAAATGCCGAATTGTTCAGTATTTCTGCTGCAAAAAAGATCTGCAACGTTAAATTTACAAAAAAATGGTGTTACCTTTCATATATAAGTAGTCACAACATGTTTTCTATTTACTTCTTATTAAACCTAAAAATTACAACAATAACGGTCGTGTTGTTTAGGATTTGTTTACTTACACAGGCCATTCACCCTCAAAAAATATGCGGATTGGTCGAGCGGCTGATCCGTGTCTGTATCCAAGTTATCGTTGTCATCGACCGATAGTTTTATAATGTATTGGTGTGTGTGTAATTTTTAGTATATTGTTTTAATTGTTATGTGTGAATTTCGTAGTGATAGACGTTTGTTTTTGTGTGCGCACCCGCAAAAAATGACAGGCAGTTTCTGTATTGGGGATTGTGGTGGCCCGTGTAACTCTATTTAATAGCTTTACCAATGACCAGCATAGGAAGCTTTATAACTACATGTAACGTTATAACGTTATAATCAGTCAACGTGTTAACGGTAAATTTAAGTAACATTACACGTAATTTTATCAATAAATTTAACATTAATAGTTTACAATAAAAACGTGATTGGACATTGCGTGCGAAACGACGTACTTAAAATTACAAGAACGATGAACACGAGCCAAACAACTCTTAAAATTGTAATTTACAGTTTTAATTTTTGTAAACCCTCATGAACTGAATACGTTTTATTTTCTTTAAGGTAATTAAACAAATTAATGATGAATCGTTTTTATTGTGATAAAGGTATTTTATATGGATGTTACACTAATTACCGTAATCGTCAACTTGGATTTGGTAACGTTAATAATTCCTGTTATTTTTTTTAAAAGCCCATGCATATACTATTATGTGTGGACTTTTGAAAGTGACCGTATATGACGTGTCGTGGCCTCAATTCCTAGACAAAGTTGACATTTGTAAAAGAACTAATTGTTGGTTTTCGCATCTGGTTACATAACGCTACTTTCTTTGTGAGAAGAAATGAGTGTATAATATTGTCTGTATTTATTGCACTATTTAATCTACCGCACAGTTGATTGCTTCAGGTTTTTCGAAAATTTAGGTTGACACGTATTTGCCAATCACGGGATGTCGCGTGAAGAGAATAATAATATATTGTAAGA